GATGAGAATCAAAATGATTTACTCAGAAGTGTTACTTTATAGCAGACTAAGTCCTTTTTTATTACTAATTCAATTAAATAAATAAATCAACTTCTAGTAAGTAGTCTTTACCACGATTTAAGTTTGTTTAATCAGTGACAAAACATATATTGTCATACAATTATATAAAATAGAGATAAATTAAGCTGCTAGTATATTCTTCCCTAAAAAAACTGAATGTGTGACTACATTTAGTAACAAATAATAATATTAATTAATTACAGGGAGTAGAATCAGTTCCTCTAAAAGTGAATATTTGCTATGTTAAATGATACCAACTAGGTTAAGGCCCACACTTAAAGCATCAAAATATTTAATATACTGCAAAGCTTTGAATATTTAAATTTGACCAAATAAATAACAGTAAACAGATATCATCTGTGATAATCGTGAATCGACTCAACTTAGAAGTGTAAAACAGTGGATTTTAATTAAGTGATTTACATGTGTTATTGTAGTGGCTTTGCTTCGTTAATCTATCACCCTTGTAACCGTTATTACATAAACATCAATGGTGTTTAAAATCAGAAGGCAATGAGAAGCGGCGACTAAAGTTTGTTAGCGGATAGTGTAGATCACAAAGCTATAAGCACATCGAGCGAATTTGAAGCAGAGAGGCGAATATGTATGCGATCAAACATAGAGACAAGTTTATAGTCAGATCGCATAAGGGCACAGCAAAGGCTAATAATAGGATTTAAGTACATATATATATGGGGGAGGATGAATCGTCGAGTGATATTTAAGCAATCAACATTTTAGCTAGTGGCCGTAATGGTACAAAGAAATATGCGAATTTTTATTATTCTAATGACATTTCCTGTCAAGTAAGTTAGTAAAAATGCTTGACCAAAACTAACCATGGTCGAAATTGGTTATAAGATATTTGCTATATCGTGATTACAGTAGGAATTGAAAATTTTAATTTTACTTTCGTGTATTTATCAGGAAAACGAGGTTCTGTGAAGTCTTAGAACACCACGAAACAATTATTCACTACGCTTTATTCTGTAATAGTCTATGAGTAGAACAATTATTTTATCTAAAGGCAGTTAGGTTATCCCTCATCACTAGAGTTATATGAATTACTTCGCAACCGTTTACGAACACTTTCTTCTAGATAAACATTCTTTCATCAATAATTATTTTAAAAATCATAAAGGTATATTCATTATTAACTCGGTTCATTTTCCAAATTAAAAATTTATTGATGTACCACACCTGTTTTTTACAATATTCATTAAGTATTGAACTAGATTTTGGAGAGAAAAAGCCAAAACTGGGCTTCATAAAAACCTAGAAGTGTAGTGTTGTATGCCATCCATGAATATAATCAGAAGGGGGTGTTGCCGAGATTTTAGTAATTTTATATTTGAATTCATGAGTCAATTGAAGCTAGACCACCATGGAAAATTTGGAAGCACTGCGCGGTTGTTTCGTCTTAGTATGGTTGACGCTAGACATTAACACCGTTAGATGCAGGTGGGCTCAGTGGTCCAGAGGTTGAGCGGCCGCACACAAGACTGACAGGTCCTTGCTCCAAATCTCGCGGGGCGGGATCGTGGATGCGCACTGATGAAAAGTTCCATACTAGGACAAAGCGGCCGTTCAGTGCTTCCAGGTTTTCCATGGTGGTCTAGTTTCAATTGACTCATGAATTCAACTATTATATATATATATATATATATATATATATATATATATATATATATATATATATATTTCAATTCACCTTAACCTTCAACAGTGAAATAAAACGGACTTTATAATTAAAAGGACTAAGTTAAGGTTATCAAAATCAATTGACTTATATGATGAAATGAAAATACTGATATGAAATAGAGAAGGATTGATTTCAGTCTCTTAAACTTAAAGTGGTTTAAAACCTTAAAAATAGTGGTCAAACAATTTAAGCGTTTCAGGTATTCAATAGAAAATAAATATGAGATGGTTTGGATTGTAGACCACTGGACTAATTTGAAATTATTATCTCATCAAGTTATGATGAATAATGATGATTATTTGAAATACATTTTGAGAATAAAGTGAATTAATGAAACTACTTTGAAAATAATTGATGAAACATGTTCTGAGTTAATGAAATCTACTTATTAAGAAAGCTCAAATTGATATGACTACACATTGATAATATAACAGAGTATTTCTGAAATAATTTCAGAGTTCAGAATATCTACCATTATCAATCTGCTTAATTTACTTTTGAAGCATTTTGTGAGTTTCAGTCCATTCAGATTAAATGAATGTAACAGAAGGAAAATAGTTAAACATTTCCTTAGATCTCATTTATCTAACGCGAACCTATAACCGTGATTTTGAGACACATTATATTTGAGAGCTATTAAAACTCTACGGCTGTCCAAGCCTAAGTAGATGAAACGGACAGTGAACTTATGACTTCATAGTTGAAAGCCACCGCTTCACACAAAAAGATATCGGAGTTCGTATGATTTCCTTATATACAAATAAAACTGATCGTCTACGGAAAATTACAATTATTTGTTGACAATGTAGTGCCTATTATCAGGTTAATAATTGGTTAGATCAAGTTTTTAATGTCTTCAGTAGGACTACATCTTACAGTCAAATTTATTAGTCAGTTAGACATGAAGTTATTGGGAAACCAGAGGCGGAGGAAAGATATTTCCGTAATTTCACATCTGTATTTTTTCAGCAATTCATACCCTTAGCTTACGCCCGACAAGCATGTCGTGAATTTATTGACAACAGCTTCTGATATTTTGCCAAAACACTATTAAAAATATTCACGTGAAGAAACTGCTAATATGATTGTATAAAAAACGAACTTACATTCATTTATTTAAATTATCACACTATATCATCGAGTGTATTTATGTGATCTAAATACGGGAATTGCAGCGAAACGCACGAATTGACAAAAAATGCACTGTTGTCCCGTGTTCACTTATCTAAGCTAAAGGAACATCAAAAGACCAACTAACCTGTATAAAATTATTATTTATCAACGTTTTATAATTTCAGCTGATTGATCCAACACCACCACGATGTAATAGCATAAAATTGAAATCTAATACGGAAAAGTTTCTGCATTATCTATCGGCAACCAGAAATACCGATTTCAACTTTTGATACATTCAATCGACAGACAATCCTAGATTTGTACTCTGTAGATATTGAATCCAGACTCATTTTATTCCACATATTATATACAACATTTCTTATTAGAAAATATTGCACACATATCCGTTTTCCTAATATTTCTCAAAACTTCTCGACAAGATTTTACTCGTACGATTCCCTTGCGTACAGTAGAGATGAATTTACTAAATAATATAAGAGTAATAAATATTTGTTTATTATAAATGCTAAGATATATGCATGTTATTTATATTGGTCATATTATGGTCCTTTCTTTATCAACTGTAAATTTTCCCTCCCAAATAGGCATACAATGAAAACAAGAAACGACGAATCACATTTAAAGTTAATTCTATCTTCATGGTCATAATGGTAGTAATAAGAATAATAGTTGTATAAGTAACGAAGATACTGATAGAAGTAATAATAATGAAGAATATATTCCTGTGAATATTTATGGTGACGATAATAATAGTAACAGTAACGATTCTAACAACTAATATTTGTGTTTCTATACTTAAATAATATAGTGAGGTTGGATAGAAAAAAACAGAGATTAAAAAAAGGAAACACAAATACATAATTTAAACAATACAACATAACATAGATAAGTTCCAACGATAATGAAATACCAGTTGAAAAAAATTCAAACCTCAACAACGAAAATAACAACAATCACGAGAGGACAGTTGACAGTAGATGAATGCGAATTCAAAGATCTCTTCATTTATATTACCCAACACGCACTATAAAAATGTGACGCAAGGCTAAATGATCTTCATACCCATACTTATTTACGTTATACCAGCAGGAGAACAAGAGAGTTATATATATATATATATATATATATATATATGCGCTCCAAGTAACGAATGAAAAACGAAGTCTTATTAGGTTACAAATAAGTAAGTTTAGATGAACTAATTACAAATGATTTATCACTATTATCGACTAAAAGATGAATAACTTGGGGTACTGCACACACAAAAGGGAACACAACTATGATGAAAATTACGAATTGTATAGTGTAAATAAATTTAAAGAAAACTCTAGAACAGGAAAAACACGGAAAAGAAAACATTATTGGTATAATGAAGATGATGAAAAGACATTGTCAACAACTTTTGACAATACTGGGTTTATTGTTATCTATTAAAGGAAAGAACAGAGAGAAACAACATTCCAACAACAGAAACAAGAAAGGACCAACAACATATACACAATAAACGCAGTTATATATAAAACATGAAGGAAGAAAATAGTAAAATCTAAGAATGATGGGGAACTATAGTTGTATAGTGAAACAATAACAGTTATAATTATTAACATGTGTAAGATATGAGAAAACGGTATAGTAGAGAAATACTTGTTATCCTACATGTAAACGTACATTACATATACGTAAAACCGCATGTATATATATATATATATACCTATGGAAACTACAGTGATAACAGAATAGAATTGATTCTTTTAGAAAATAAACGCTTCTCATAAAAAAATATGCATAAAATATCCATGAGTAATAATATTAATCATGGTAATAATGATAATAATAATAATGTGATAATATGTGCCATTATCGATGAATTTATTATAACTATCCAATTAGAAAAGTGGAATAAAACTGAAAGGACATTTGAATCGAGCTAATAGATGTATTTTAAAAAAGTGGATATCAGCTGTGTTTATATTCATATAAATGATATGAATAAAATGGACGTAAAATTATTTTCAGAGAAAAAAATATGTTTATCACATATTGTGCGGATTAACTCATCATGGAAAAAAAAATGCAGAAAAATTGAATAATGAAATCAACTTCATGCATAGTGAATTCTCGAAATATTTTGAGCACCTTGATCAACAACAATAACATCTCTACAATTTGATAAAGTAACTAAACCAGCCAATCGTCGAAATGACGGATCTACTTCAATTAAGTATGGTTTAAAAAGGTATCTACTTCTATTTAAAGGACAAAAAATTGCACAAGTATGTGTTTGAAGGTTTGGATCTACTACAGAGAAACGGTTGTTATTGTTACCACTACTACTAGGGACATTAGTGGTAGTGGCAGAGTTAGTGGTATTACACACAGTATCATTATTATTACTGTTAGTAATTATGCTAGAAGATACTGTATTGTCATCTGCTTCGTGAACGCATTGTCGACAACTGGAAGTCCACAATGTTTCCGGCCAAACGACAACACCAGAACGTTGTCTATCTGAATAAGTTGCTAGGATACATTTTCCTAGTTTATCGGTTTGAATATTAGCAGACCCAGTTGGTGCAGTACTGAATGACACACCGCCGAATTGACCACGTGATGGAGGAATCCGCGACTTTGAAGGACCACTTGAATGGCGGATTTCAGATAGACTTAAACGACCAGCATTCATATATTCCGAATTTGGATTGTCATATGAATTATTCAAAACATTAAAATAAGAAGTATCCAACGAAGTTCTTGACGGTAATGTTGAGATACGAACACGCAAATGATCATCACCTGGTTGATTTGGAGGTAACAGATCAGAAAGAAAATGTCCATCTGATGAAAATATCTAAATTAAAATGAGGATAAAAGTATTATTTAATACATCCATAAATAATTTACAATATTTTCTCAACAAGTTAAGCTTTAAAATGAGGAAGATATTGATATCACATTACACAAATAACTTACATACTACACAACCAACTACATGGAAAAACAATACTGAAGAAATCGAGTCAAGAAATCGTATAAACAAATATAACTAAGAGTAGTGAAAGTGAACAACAATGATGAAGTATTAAGGTGATCACGGGGTTACCCGGCTTTTGTTTCTAATGTTAAAATCTTACCAGTGTAGTAAACGAGAACACAAGTAGGGATAATGGAATGTATTTGAACATAAAATTACAGAACATCTTAGTAAAATCTGAGAACCATACAGTGAATACTTAATTTGCAAAATGTTAATCAATTGTCTAAAGCTTAACAGTTCCTTTTGCAAATATCAGTCAATCATCTCAGACTTCATTGTTCCTGGATTTCCATACCAATTGCTTTCTGTTCATGTTTTTTCCTCCTCGATCTTCTTGACCTTCTGCTGCCAGACATCCTATTCCTGACTAGCGTTATATATTACTTATGTCGATATAAATAGCACACACCACACTAGTGACGGTAACCTCGAATGCTTTTTTTCTAATTTAGTTTGTCGCATGACCTATGAACTTTTCTGACTGATTGCCACTAATTTTATTTCGCTGACTTTCTGAATGCCTGAAGGTCATGCTTTTGTTTACAAGGTGAATTGTATTACTTTAAGTTATTCTGCTTGAATAGTAATTTTTCCTATATCCCGTCTTTTTCTTATGTTTCCAGCCAATTGTTTAATTGTGTGTCAGCTGCCATTATCCAGTCCCAAGGACAGCCGTTCGTATTAGGATAGCTTAGTCGTTCCTTAATTCTCAAGTATCTTAGACCAACCGTGAACCCCAATATACCTGACCGTCTTACCAAGATTTAATACGTACGTGATTTGAGGTAGCTACATTACATTGCACTAATTCTAAACTATGGAGTCTGATTACTAGTGTTCGAGTAAAGATTTTAAAAAACCCTCGACAATGTGATCCAATGAATGGGCACCTATTTCGGTTCATGACAAAGACTGTAAATCTCTTGCTATGTAGATTCAAATGTCGTCTTCAAGTACAGTAATCCAATAACACTCAAGTATCAATATCTTTGCTCTCAGGAACGTGATGAAAGATAAATTTTCTATTACCTGTGTCTTTAGAATATCGTTGATGCCAGAATAACAAAAATACCAAAATTCTACAACCCTATCTAGAATTGTTATTAACAACCGGTAAAGGCAGTCAGTTAGTTACGTGTTTCTATTATTCTACCACAAGATTGATCGTAAAAATTATGATTATTGCAAACCTTTAATGATTAATGTTGGAAGCCTGGTGAGTTGAAAGTTTGTATTTTAAAGCAGTCCTATAGTCAAAAGTTAAGGTAAAAAAATCCACTTTTGTACGTAAATCATGTAAATTAGGATGGATGATTAAAGTATTATCAGTTCAATTAAAACTGTCTTCATAATAGATGAAAAATAGCATGATAAAATTATTTCTTAAAATATTATTCATTTACTTATAATATACATAATTGGTAAACTTGGGATGCAAAAAAAAACCAAGCAGAAGGGTAGAGAGAATACGACTAAAGTAACCAGAAAAAAGGAAGGAGGCGAAACAAGTCGTCTATTAGAAGAAAAAATGCTTAAATAATTGTCTGTTACGTTTGTACTAGAAAGGCAAAAATCACACTATAACTTCAATGATGAACTGAGTTATATGATATTCTGGTTGCTAAAAGAGAAATGACGTACCAGTAGAGATGAAACATAATCTGATTTCATAGTGAACTAACACAACTAGTTTGAGAGACGAATGATTAGAAACTAAGCGTTATCTTAATCAACGATTTATATATGAAGTAGAAAGTTCATTAGCAGAAAATATTAAATGAACGATAGAATTCAATAAGAATTAAGGATTAAGCATAATATTGCCTACAGAATAATAATCATTTAGTTTAAATATCATAGTCTAAGTTAGTATGTCTGAATAATCTAGTGTTAACTTTACTATCTGTGACACAGATCCGAATTTCACAGGGAAAGTCACTATTTCAATATTCCAGATACATCTTGCTTAAAGGATGCTAAATCGTATCTTAACCTATCAGTAAATAGTAACATAATTTCAGATTATAAAGACTAGAAAGAAAACACTACAAAGACGATACAACAAAATGTTGACTAATACTATTATCCCATTGAATAATAATTTTACTCTAGTTATTGTCAGTCAGTAACAAAGTAGAACTTCGTACGTACGTACATCAGTTCGAGTTGCTACACCACATTAGCACAGAGATGCAGTGGTCGATTCAAATTCCGTAGTGCTAGATGTAGTAAAATTATAAGCTGTAATCAGAAAAATTAGGGTTTGAAGATGTTATTCGAGGAGTATAATCCAGAAGATTAGAATTTGGGAGAACACAAAGAGTGGATGCACCTGCGCCATTGCAAACGATTTTGAGCCATGTCATTCAGGGTGTCTAACCACCGGTTGCTATCATCTCGCGGTCCGCAATCAGGTAGTCTACACCTACCAATATGACTCAGTCCACAAGTCAGTGATTTCATGGATTTGTGCTATGTTTTGTTTTGGCCGCCCCTAGCTTTCTTCCAATCTACTTCTGTACAACGAAACATTGCACTTCGTGACAGTCGGTGGTTGGGCATACGTAACACGTGTCCCAGCCATCTCAACTGATGAAGTTTCACTGCTTCATCAATTGATTTGCCATCCTTACCTAGTACCCGCTTCCTAACGACTGCGTTACTTACTCGATGGTACCAGGATATACGAGCAATGTTTCGAAGACACCTATGATCGAATACTAGTAACCTATGAATATCCTCTACTTTTACCGGCCATGTTTCACTGCCATAAAGCAGGACGGAACGAACTGCTGCGCAGTAAACACGTCCTTTGATTGATAGACGGATATCTCGCCTACTCCATAAATGACGCAAATTGGTAAAAGCTAGTCGAGCCTTCTGTATCCGTGCCTTTTCGTGGCGGGGGTGTTGTTTACGAAAATGAGAGGACGAAAAGCGAATGTCCAGAGCTTTAACCGGATTCCAAACCAATGGTGCACATGGGCTCCAGTATCCTGAAGGAACAAATGGCGTATGAACCAATCGTTGGTCACCAGCTACCATGGGACTGCATCTCCTTACGACGCTCCACTAGCTTGTGAGTCAGACCCTTAGGTCAAAGGCTCGGGGAGTGGTCCCCTAAGATAACCACCTGCTTCGGATTGGGCACCTGGGCAGTATCACAGCCCACATACAAATGATGAACTCTCTATGTCTATGGAAATTACTTTTCTCGCTTCGAAAAACAATCAACTGATTCAAATTATTATTATCACTATTATTATCATTATTATTATTTACCACATTATTCACCCTCTTTTATACTTATATAGAGGCTCGTCTTTAGAGGAAATTCGACTGTATCTAGACGTTCTCGTGTCACTGTCCGGTTGAAAATTGTATGTTACCACTGAATATGAGAACTGAAGCAGTTTTTCTGAAACCACGCGCACCATTCAAACTGGCTGCCTTCAACGTTCAGTGGACAACGAAGTGACCACCACCAAAGGATTGATATTAGCAAGCTGGTTGCAACTTCTGTTGCAAGTAAGTATCGAACCGAGCTAGTTTCTAGGCTAGCTACCATTTCACCGAAAAGTATAGATGAGCATTGGTTGCAATTGCATGACGCCATGTAAATGGCGGGTACAGTCAGTTGTGGGTTCGCGAAACGTCCCGCTTATAAGCACTGGGTTTCTTCAGGCTCCTTACAACTCATTGAAGCCCGTCGGTCTACTCCGGGTGACCGCGAGTTTGATCACAAACGAAGGATGTTACGTAAGAAAATTGGGCAAAGCTTGCGTAAGGACCGAGAAGCCTGGTGGTCGAAGCGTGCTAATGAGTTGGAAGCAGCAGCTGCATCTGGTAACTACCGGAAGCTCTTCCAACTCATCCGAGCCACTGGCAGCAAGAAGTCTGGTGTGAGTGAAACAATCTGCGAGGATGATGGGATGCCAATCACTAACATCCATCGACGTCTTGGACGATGGGCAGAATTCTTCGAAGGGCAGTTCAACTGGCCTACTGCTCCGGCAACATCAGTCAGACTGTTCTGCCCTCCATGACCGGTGACGACTGATCCACCAAACGAGGAGGAAGTCCGCAAGGAACCCCAACTCTTGAAGCGTTACATATCACCTGGCCCAGATGACTTACCTCCGGCTCTTTTTAAAGATGGTGGTGACTTTTTGACTAAGGAATTGACGACGTTGTTTACAAAGGTTTGGGAACTAGAGAGTGTACCAACGTCATAGAATGAGTCGATAGTTGTCCCTGTCTTTAAAAAGGGTTCACGTCGTTCCTGTAACAACTATTGGGGGATAAGTCTACTTCCGATTGCGTCCAAGCTATTGGCTTCCGTCATACTTCGTAGGTTGTTCAAAACCCGAGAAAGATTGACTCGCGAGGAGCAGGCTGGGTTTCGTTCCGCTCGAGGATGTATTGATCATATATTCACCCTCCGCCAAATGTTGGAACACCGCCATACTTATCAAAGGCCAACAATCGTAGTGTTTCTTGACATCAGGGCTGCCTTCGATTCGTTGGACAGGACTGTTCTCTGGGATTGTCTATTGAAGAAGGGTGTGCCTGAGAAGTTTATTAACATCCTAAAAGCCCTATATAAAAACACCTCAGGCAGAGTGAAGGCATACAACCACCTCTCTTCATTGTTCCATTCGAGCAGTGGGGTTAGGCAGGGTTGCCCAATCTCACCATTCCTCTTCAACTTTGCCATCGATGACATTCTGGAAACAGCTCTGATGGATGTAAGTAATGGTGGTGTGGATCTGTTGCCTGGAGAAAGACTTCTCGACCTTGAGTATGCGGATGATATTGTCTTGCTATGCGATAATGCCCAAGGCATGCAATCCGCACTTAATCAGTTGGCAATCAGTGTCCTTAGGTATGGTATGTACTTTGCACCTTCGAAGTGCAAAGTACTTCTACAAGACTGGCAGGATCCTAATCCTGTACTCACCCTGGATGGTGAGCAGATAGAAGTAGTCGAGAAGTTTGTGTATCTGGGTAGCTGCATAAGTGCTGGTGGGGGGTGTGAGTGATGAGATCAATGCACGTATAGTGAAAGCCAGAGCGGCTTATGCCAATCTGGGCCACCTTTGGCGCCTTCGTGATGTTAGTCTGGCTGTAAAACGTCGGATCTACAACGCGTCGGTGAGAGCAGTCTTGCTCTATGCTTGTGAAACCTGGCCTCTCCGAGTTGAGGACGTTAGAAGACTCTCTGTGTTCGATCATCGCTGTCTCCGAAGGATTGCTGACATCCAGTGGCAACACCATGTCAGTAATGCAGAGGTTCGGCATCGTGTGTTCGGGCACAGAGATGATAATGCAATCGATGTCACCATCTTGAAACACCGACTTCGGCGGCTTGGACATGTTCTACGAATGTCGTCCCACAGAATTCCACGTCGTGCATTATTTGCCGACTCTGGGACTGGTTGGAAAAAGCGGAGAGGTGATCAGTATATGACATGGTGTCGTGGTATGAAAGAAGGCTGCAAAGGACTGGCTTGTGTCGGTCCTTCACGACTCCCTGGTTGGGGTCCGAGAGATGATGCTACACAGTGGCTAGAGACGTTATCAGATATGGCTCAGAATAGAAGCCAGTGGTGATCATGTTCTAACCTTCTTTTACATTTTTCATAAAAAGTGGTTGTCTTCCTTAACTGAAAGATTTCTTCTGATTGCACCTTTCCGTTCCCTCATTATTACTACACCACCTTACAACAACCTCTTCGTTATTGTTCTTTTTTTTCACAGTCCTTATCTTTCTTTTTCGGTTCAAGTTCTCATTGTTTTGTGTGGCGCATATATATTGGCGCTCTCTTGTACCAATATTTAGGTGTTCAAATAAACAAATAAATAAATAATCCGTGCTGAGATTTTGTCATACACCACACCACAAGGGCTGGTGAGACTTCCAAGATAAGTGAAGTGGTCGACACACTCAACTACTTCACTCCCTATCACTAGTTCGGGTGTCGATGTAACCCAATCCTGAAGCAACATTTTGCATTTCGAGGAAGAGAATCGCATCCCGAACATGCTTGCATTGTTGCTTAGAGTGGTCAGAAGACTCTGCATTTTGTCAGCGTCTTCACCAAATAAAACTATGTCATCTGCATATTCTAAGTCAACAAGTGAACCTCCCGGTAGAAGTTCAACCCCTGGAAATTTAGATGAGGAGAGTGTTATCTCTAAAAGTACGTCGACGACAAAGTTGAACAAGAATGGGGAGAGTGGACAGCCCTGACGAACACCACTTCAGGTAATCAATTCTGATGACAGTTCGCCATAAGCTCTCACTCTACCAGTTGTGTTCGAGTAGAGAGCCTTTATAAGGTTAATGTGCTTCTTTGGTACTCCTTCCAGTGACAAACACTGCCATAGAACCTTACGATCAACAGAGTCGAATGCTGCCTTAAGGTCGAGAAATACTACGATTGTGGGGCGTCTGAATGTGTGTCTGTGTTCTAGAACCTGATGTATTGTCAATATCTGGTATATACAACCACGTCCAGGTCGAAAACCAGCCTGATTTTCTCTAATCTGTTCTTCACGAGCTTTGGTTAGGTGTTGAAGTATTATTGAAGCTAATATTTTAGACACTATATTTGTCAAACTGATTCCTCTGTGATTGTCACAAGAGGACTTTTGTCCTTTCTTATAGACTGGCACAATCAGTGATTGAGACCAGTCAGATGGGATTACGTCCAGTTCCCAAATTCTACCTAAGACTTCAGTTAATCTCACTGGTAATACTGAACCATCATCCTTAAAAATCTCAGGAGTAAACCTGTCAGGGCCTGCTTCTCTCCCTCGCTTCAGATTTTCAACTTCGTAAAGAGACGGAGGACCTACATTAACTTGCCATTCAGGTTGACTGGAGATCGAGGGAAACCGAAGTGTGGCTGTAGGCCAGTTGAACTGATCCCTAAAGTGCTCTGCCCATCGATCCAATCTCCTGGATTGAGAATGTATAATATGTCCATCTTTCTCTGAGATTGTTTCGCTAACGGTCGGGTTCCTAATTCCGGTTTCCTTAACGAGTCTGAACAATTGTCTGCTATTAACTAATGCCGCTGCCTTTTCCATCTCTCTTGCTTTCGCTACCCACCACTGTTCGCGATCATTGCGTAGACTTTTTGTCAGCTTGCGCTTAAGCTGACTCCGCTATTCATTACGTTCAGAGCCAGGTGGAATGAGTTTCCGAGCATCTATCAATGCGATAGATGCTGCTGAGATCCAGTGTTGCTCCCTAACCTTCTGGTTTACCTTACTAGCAGATATCACTGCTGTTTCCACAGCTTTTCGGATATCATTCCATGCTGCCTCAGGGTGGGCATCACATACATGGCTGCCTAACTGTTTTCCTGGTTGTTCCTGAAATATACTCTTAGCTTGACTATCATTGAGCAGGCCCCTAATAGGTTTCCTTGTAGCGTCTTTCCTACGTCCAGTAAGACGCAGACAGATACGCGCTCGTACTAGAGCATGATCTGAATCTAAGCATGTGCTCCAGAATGAGCGACAGTCTTCTATCGAGCCCCCCCATCGGTGGCTGATAGCGATGTGATCTATTCGGGTTCAACGTTGGGATGAATTAGGGGGTCGCCATGTTAAAAGATGTTTTTCCTTATGCTTAAAGTTAGTATTTGCAAGGAACAGGCGGTTTTCTGAGCAAAGCTGCAACAGATGGTCACCATTATCTGTTCTTTGAGCCACGACACCATAAGATCCACCCAGGTGTCTTTCCCTATCGCTTAGTTTACCTACTTGAGCATTAAAGTCACCAGCCACTATTACTACATCCGAGCGCCTAGCTTTTCGGAGAAGGTCGGAGAGCTTTCTGTAAAACTCATCTTTTACATCATCTGTGCTGCAGTCAGTGGGAGAATAGGCAGAGACGACGAAGAGGCAACGACGAGTGTCCCTATCTTTTCGGATCCTTACTGTTCCGTTCAGTCGGACAACGCACAAACGACTGTCTACTGGGATCCACTCTAAGAGAGCTAGTTCTGCCCTAGGATTTAATGCTATACCTACGCCGGCGAGTCCACGGGAAGCAGAATCAGGGCTTCCAGATACACGAAGTGTGAATCGAGTCGGTTCTTTATTTTGGCATGGTGAGGTCAAATGAATGACGCTACTCGGATCCTGTGTGCGCGTTTCGGAGACGCAGCACACACCGATGGCGCGGGATTCTAAAATCCTAGCTAAGGAAGCCTGCTGTTCTATTTGGCACAGTGTTCGGACGTTAAAAGCTCCTACGTGTAGTTTGGAGCGTGGTTTCAGGAAACCAGGAATAACGTTCCGCGTACTCGAATCGTTTGCCCTAGCGGTGCGAGGTGGCAAAGAGACGTGAGAAGGGTTAGTTGGGGGGATAAGAGAGGTAGTAGAAGGTGCAGGAAGGATTTGAATGTGACCAACTTGGTCTTGTGTGCTGTTACGGGTATGAGGGCTGGTGTCACTTCCCGGCTGCCCACACCGTGGAAGGGTATTTCTTAAGGAATCTGAAAAGGAATTCGGATTAATGTCGGCCTTAACGGCCTGAGAGCGTGACCGCAGAGCTCAAGGGACAACTGCTTGAGGCCGGTCGCGCACGGCCATTTCGTGGAAGGTTTTTAATGTGTTAGCTCCGTTCTTCAAAGGGCCTTACCGTCGGAGACAGAAATCCCTGAGGTAAGGTGAGGTGTGATATTTTTAGGGTCGAACTTTTCTAACCCCTTCCTTCCTTGTGAGAAGGCAGCATAGCTGCAGATGCTGGTTGTCCGAGGGAAACAACTTACTGCTATCACTCCCTTACAGTCAGCAGTACGACTTCGCCCTCAGACCTTGGGTTGCTGCTTTTAGTCTTACCGTTCTTTAATCGACCTGCCTGGCATGGTAGAACCTACAGGAACATGTGTTCCAGCCAATATAGCTCGGTTGGGTCATCACGATAGGCAAGCCCGACCACCGCGTCAAGGTAGCAGCTTCGGTCGGGCTAGTTATTATATTCACTATAAGATTGACATTTGAAAGATGAATAGAGATCTTTAAAAAAACAGGATTTTTGAATAGATTTAATAAAACGTTAGTTCTGTAGCTATGAGGTTCTGATGTAGAAAGAACTATGTTTAAAGAAAAAACGTCTAGTGATTTGTCAATGAAAACAAATCAAATACCAATGAAATTACGGTAAAACAGAATCATATTCTTTCATACAAGTATGCATATTAGAAAATTTTCTAAAAACAAAACTCACTCGAATACACGTTCCTGTAGACAAAATCAATTCTCCAGAGTCAGCTACACACAATCCTGTGATTAATTTGCAAACTTTAGGTTGAGGCAAATGAGAACTAGCTTCGGTTCGAATTAAAGTACTGTGTCTAGTTGGAGTGCTTGCATCACTATCCGCATAAACGGATGTAGTATTTGTCCCAATAAACACATCCACAGAGCAGGTTTCAGGGTCACAAACAAAAACGCAACCAGCTCCATTATCAGCAATAAATAAACGACTAGTTAAGGGACATCTGGCGATACTAGTTGGCTCCTTGAACAAAGGACTTGACACGGATGAAAGTACCTAAAAGGAGGGGGAAAATCACAAATAAATCGCATTATTAAGCTAAACATTAAAAAAATACAGTTCAATAGTAGAGAGAGATTGAAAAGTGAAAATTATGGAATCACAGATATAGATAGAGAAAAAAAATGAACGTAACTAAGTTACAGCTACTGATTTCAAACTATATCACCCAAGGCCTAGGAACCGTAGATTTTAATTACCACGCGGATCCTAATATGGAGGTCTATATGTACCGCTCCCTGTGCCATTTAAATAGGCCATCAATCAATTGATTGAAGTGTTATCCTTATCCGAACTTCCTTAACCTCCCGATCAAATTCAGTGCGAGCCAGTACAGAGCACTGAGGGAAACAGATGCTGAGTATGCGTACCATGTGTTCCAGAAACTTCAAACGGTGAAGGTTTGAAGCGTTTTCAGTCTTTTTTATTTCTACCTAAAACCCTGAATATACATAATATTACTTAATTGGTGATTCTATTAATGCCACGAATATATTTACAACTAAATGCCTGGAAATTACCAATACATATACTGAATGTCACATAGCTTTGGATTTATGAGGTGATTGAAGGCGATCAGTAAGAAATTCTGAACCCGGGTTTCGTCTAACCTGGTATTCGTTAAGAGTCACCATTAATCTTGGGTGAATTGGTATTTCCATTCAGATCCGAACCCTGATCAGTAAGTATTATAGGGTAAATATCTTAGTCTTACAGGAGGTCAACCACGACCCAAAAAGCCCCGGATTGTTTGTAATCGGGGTTAGAATACTATAGAGAATATCCGTTCTTCTAAGATCCCAGATGCCTTTTACTGACAAGTGCTAACTAGAACAAAAGCTAGGTTAGTAGTATCCTGCTGACTGTTTCTAACTACAGAAAGTTAAAAACATAGTACCTGCATACCCAGTCTTTTAGACTGGCGGCCACATTGCAGATTGATGAACAGGATTTGATTAATACCATGAATATGGCATTAGTTTATTAATCAGTGTAAATCCCCTCCTGTTTGTTATATACCAATAGAAGCGCTAACGTGGAAATATCTATAGCACGGTAAAGGTAATGAAATCGAAGGTTCTCTTAAAGGTTTCCGTGATGTAGAAGCTATACACGTTTATATTAATTATTAAATTGTTGTGAGTTAGGTATTTAATGTCCTTTGAGCAAAACGCTAGTATTGAACTCTTACCTGTTCAGTAGCTGGGTCTAACAGGAACAGTTGCTTAGCCCGCCAATTTACAATCCATAAACCCTGAGGTGACCACACCATACCAGTTGCAGCTTGACCAGATAATGGTTCACCGGTCACAGTGGTATGAAGTGAACCATCTGCAGGATTTAGTACTAACAGACGGCTATTGCCTGTATCCAAAACGTAAATGAAATCACGAGTTATTGAACAATCATTTTGTGTAGCATTTGATGAGGCTTCAGAAGGACGAACAGGATAAGGTCCAAAAGCTACAGCGAACGGTTGAATCAATCCTCGACCGTCGGAGCCTATTTCACGAATTGAAGTAAAAATTCTTAATCATTAAAATATATAAAATAACTTGATAACCAATAACTATTAAAGAATGGTAATATATAACTCTCCAGAACTTTATGTGATATCAGGCGCTTGTAGAAATCTTGTACATCTATAAAGAGTAGGGAGGTCAATGTAACGTAGACAACAAAGCTCTACCTTATTAAGCTATAGAGTATAACATTACGCATAGACCTTATTAATTCACTTCAATATTGAACAAAAATGTCCGATATTCATATCACAAAAAAAGAATACACACTCACATAACATAATAATAAGGATTACATGCAAAAAATTTGTGATTATCTTAATTGTCCAATTACTGGATCACAAACAAATCCATAATGATTGCACTTATGAGTCAAGTATTTTACAATCGACCATTCATACATTATTAAGAATATTGACATGTAAATGGTTTATAAACTTCTGATGAAATTAAAGATATTTTTATTTTAATAATTGAATTCGCGAGTTGATTAAAGCTAAACCACCATGGAAAACCTGGAAGCACTAAACTGCCGTTTCGTCCTAGTGTCAGACTCCTCAACAGTGCTCATCCACGATCTCACTTTCGGGAGCTGAACCCAGGACCCTCGATCTCACGCGCTAAAGCATGACCTCTAGACCAGTGAGCCGGTATTTAATGAGGTTAATGTCTAACTTCAACTAATCCACGAAATTGCGCCACCGTCAACTATTGTCTCCAGTGAGTTACTATCTCACAATGGTGGATGGTGGCGCAATTTCGTGGATTGGTTGAAGTTAGATATTAGCATCATTGGATACCGGCTGACTGGTCTAGAGGTCATGCGTTCGTGCGTGAGACCGAAGAACCTGGGTTTAGCTCCCGAAAGCAAGATCGTGGATGAGCACTGCTGAGGAGTCTGATACTGGGACGAAACGGCAGTTTAGTGCTTCCAGGTTTTCCATGGTGGTCTAGCTTTAATCGACTCATGAATTCAACTATTAAATTACTACCATCTCCACAAAACCCTTTTCTGTAACTGATTAATCAAGCCTAAATCCGTAGACAATTTGTTTATAAGGAAATAATGATATTATTTAGGAGCTCAAACAAAAGTGATTGGAGTAAAGTTCGGAATGGTAAGTTATTGGAAAGCATTTAAGCACTTTAAACACTAAATAAAGATTAAGGTACAACCCATGCTTAATTTTTTTAGTAAAATGTTACCTTGTGGTCCATAATCAAAGGTGACATTAATAAAAACAACAAAACAACATAGACCAGCCAAGTATAATAATTACTACAACAATGAAATATATATAATAATAAATAATAAAACAAAACTACTACGGAATAATGAAAATGTATATTTTCGAAGGAAAACATGTTAATTTAGACTATAAATTCTTTAAAAATGATTACTTTTGACAACGAACGAACGAAAGTTACCTGCTTTTCTATTTAACAAGCCTGTATTAGCAAGATGCAGTTCTAACTACTTCATGCTCAAAATGTAATGGGCGGATTTGTTCATTTACAACCAATCAATCATAACTGACAGGTCGAGAATATACCAGAAGCTTCTACAATACGTTGTATGTAATACCATGTTTCCACTGCTCTATCTTTCGTTGCTCAGTTCGATTGGGATAACTATTGTTCCGCCTCAATTCTTGTTCTGATTTAGGACGAGTTGAGAAAGGTATAGTGTTCAAAGAATACTAGGTAGTAGAGAATAAAACATCTAGTCGATCTGAAGGCAAGTAAAACCTTGATTAAAAGATTCATTAGGTCCATAAGAAGGGGACTTATTTAGATGTTCAGTAAATATTTTCACAGTATCCTTGTGAATTTGGTAACAAAAAGGTGAAGTACAATAATAAGCAAACCGAGAACAAGACAATAAACTTTATAAATAGGAAAAATGAAGGATATGCAGTGTGAAGAGATCGAATACAAGGAAAGTCAAATCGTGAGAACGCAAGCTTCAAATGTTTATGTTGCGTAAAGATATGAACAAGCGTCCTCATGAAAGTGACTTATAAACTGAAATAATTAAGCATATTGAGTTGCACGAATATATCACGGATTAACGATATCAGAAATGAAAAAGCATATGTAGGGATTTCTTTATCGGACTATCAACTGAACTTTAGGTGAGAACGTTAATTAATCAACCCAAAAAGTGATTCAGTATACTCCAAATAGTATGATACCAAGAAAGTATTAGCATATACATAAACAATAATAATGCGTGAAAAAATTACCTTCTTTTAAAGACCAAATACGTTTTTGTGTTGGTTTTACATGAACACTGAAAGGTGAGCCACGAATTGGTCTATTGAGAATTTTTACAGATAATTTATGAAGACCTGAAAATGGGGTAATCATGTTAACCTCGTAACAACCATTTCCAATGTCTAATATATCAGTTGGGACTAAGTGACCTCGTGGTTCTGTAAAAGCAACTTCAATGGGATCTGTTCCACTGTTTGATTGAGGACGACCATGATAGTCAACTGCTTGAATAGTGCACTAAGAATAAAAAAGAACGCAGTGCGAAATGAACAATGTATTCACTTCAAAACAGATCGTTAAAAAATCCCTCTCGATGAAGTTGTTTACAAAAACTGAACTGTATGCTTTGCTTATGAACAAATGTTAGAAGTCAATATTTTTTGAGAGACAATAAATGAAATTATCGTACTTAGTGATTTGAAGATATAATAATGTCGCTTATGATGTTTTTTGTAAATAAATATTTTTGTTAGGTATGGAAAATGTACAACTAACTGAAATAATTTCTATGCTCCAGACCACAGGATAGACGGAATATCCATTTGATAGTGCCTGCAAAAGAACATTCTGCCGTATTTTATACTAACACGATTTCAAATGAAACTTTAATGATCTTCTATATCAGAAAACCATTCTTCAGTATAATCACTTTAGGAATAATATAAAAAATTAGGCGTAAACACCATGGAAATGAATTAACACAATACAATAGTTGCTATCTACTTATCAAAATAAATGAATAATTAAGACTTGAGTAGATCGTAAGGGGATTTTAAAAATCAAGTTTTCTGGTATACTTTTACTAGATTATAATCTTTGATCATTTTGGTCTTATATACAGTAGAAAGGATTGTATACATGTTTGTAAATATCATAAGATCAAAATATTAAATTTCTGAGTTAAAAAATAAACTACCTTTGAAAACAACCTTAAAGAAAGCTCAAGTTTTACAACAGTCGATTGACTTAATAAAATCTTAGCTGTTATGCTCAAATAAGGTCACTTTAAAAATATGTACAAATTAACAGACCACAAAAATGTCTTTGATCTTTAGGCTTAGAAAAGAACACAAATATTACGTTTATAGGTTGAAACTGTGTTCAGATTTTTTTATAATCTTAGCTAAATTATTCCAACTTAAACGTGTACGTATCCGGAAATTCGAATAAAGGAAATAAACGAAATTTTTTTAATAGAATAGTTTTATCATGTACAGGTCGGTCAATTCAAGTCAACATAAACACAGTAACAGTTCAGAGATGAAGATAAAAAAATGTTTCATGTCTGAAATTATTTATAATTTCAATGTCTGGTTATGTATGCTTATTCATCAATAGAAACAGAGCTGTCCTACGGAAATTGTGACTAGTAAAGAAGGAATTTTCAGGTGTCATAGATAATGATAGGAAATATTGGTGTGAGGAAAGAATGGTAAATATAATTTCTGGAATGTTTCTAATTCAATAATAGATTGAACATAGAGCATAAGGTTTGCTACAAAATATAGAAGTGTAGAGAACAGACGTAGTAACACTTATTACCCCTTGATTAATGAAATCTATTGAATAAAGGAAGGCTCCAGCACTTAACACAAAACAACAATTATCGATCGTATTTAAATCATATTTCACTTACCGATAGGAAAACAAATATTAATAAGTCTGGTGGTTCTTTGAGGGTACTGGGTTAAATTTCGTGTGCACAGAGTAATCAATAGTCTAATATACGGGCGAAACAGCTGCTCAATGCTTTTTAGTTTTAAATAGTTTCCCACATGATATCGGTTTTTAGTGAAAAATATCTCTAAATTATAGACTCTTTACAAACAATCTCTAATTTGTCAATAATTTCTGTTTGGTCACTAGTGATTAGCCTTAAAATAGACCTCTAAAAGTTGTAATTATAAGCTTTAATCTGCAAAGTTAGCGAAGTCGAAAACGAGATAGTAACGTGTTGATGACAAAAGTTTTATAATGCGAATCAATAAAAGCTCACAATATGGACCAGTGGATGACGAACTGGCAATCGGAAGGAAACGTGGTTGGAACCAAATTCGAAGGTCATTGCTAATGTTTGGTGCAACTTATTTATCGACTACATGATTTATGTGCTCAACTGAGGCACAAGGTTTTTGTGAGGGCTGGTGATATTACCTGGGTACGTAAAGTGAAGTAGATGGAATGGTGTTCGAACATGTAACCTCCCGGTTGAAAGTCGAGTAGCTTCACCACTGAGCCCCACCCCTACTTAGGATTAAGTCTGGATGTTGTAGACTTAATCCCGTATGGGGTAGTGGGTCCACGATACTGACCACAGTAAAACTATAAACAAATAATTTTCTAGTGTATTTCAGTTTTTACTGGCCTTCTGTCTGGCATAGTTCGCAGTGAAAAATGTAGACAAAATCACCCTAATACGACAGCATATCATAAACGGTCATGCTACCCTTACACATGCCATCTACCTACATACTGCTATACCTGGAATTTTTTAAAAGGAAATAACTAATGTTTTAAAACGTAAGAATAATCCAATTACTTTTGTATTCGCGAAAGCGACAAAAATCTAGACAATAAGCAAGGTAGTGTGCGAATAATATGCGACTAGCCTTTTGAAGTATGCTGACAATGACAGGTTTAAGACTAAACGTGTTATCAACTAGAATAATTATGAATAGCACGATAAAGTATCTCTTAAATTGTACATGAGTGAAAAGTTTACCTAGATTATAATCATGAAAATTGCTAGCAATGAGATGACAGCTAGATTTTTCAGTTATATAGAAATGAGCAAAAGCGTTTTGTATTACGTGGAACAATTATTGTGTATAGTGTAAAATATTGATGATTTAGTTTGATCAAAGTGATAATATTGTCAAGATTATTCTACTATACAGAACAAAATGTACATAAACAGATTCAATAATTTTATTTATTTATTTATTTGGACATATAAATACTGGTACAAAGGGGCACCGAATACATATGCGCCACACAAATATCATTTGATATGTGTGGGGGCTGTGATACTACACAGGTACCCAAACCGAAACAGGTGGTTATCTTAGGGGCCACACCCCGAGCCTTCGGCTTGAAAGATCTGATCCACAAGGCAGTGGAGCAACGTCAGGAGATGCAGTCCCATGGTAGCCGGTGACCAATGATTGGTTCATACGCCATTTGTTCCTTCAGGATACTGGAGCCCATGTGCAGCCTTGGTTTGGAATAAGGGTTTTCCAACTCCCCTAGGTGGACTCTCCGTGTCCACCAACCCAATCAAAGAGCTGGACATTCGCTTTTCGTTCTCTAGATTTCGTAAACAACACCCACGCCACGAAAAAGCAGTGAGTAGAACTTCCCTGGCAGGGGCCATGTGAGAGCATTTCGAGAGGGAGAGTGGACTCTCCCCACTCTCGGTTTTACCAGGGCATTTGGAGACTCAATAATTATATTTTAAGGACAATTGTATTTTCTTAAATTATGAGAAAATGTTACAGAAGGAAAGAGACGAAAATATGAAATAATAATAGGAATAAACATTTGAATATCAGTTTCATATTTCTTATCTGAACGAGCAGACCGTTTGTCTGGTATTAAGATCCCGGAAACAACTTTATCTTACATAACTTTTAGGGGATTGTTGTGTCTTCAAAAATGAATACCAGAATTGTTTTAGGCAGCGTGGAGTTGGGCCCTTTATTATGAGATAAGTCATGTTATTTGATCCGATTATCGACTTATTCGCTCACATCTCCTGTAAAACCGATAACTTATTTCACCACTCTAAAACGGCCAGAACCTAAATGCCTATTAGTCTTCGCGATTCTTGGATCCAGTGCCCAATAAAAGAACGAAGGTTAAACACAGATTAACTCGCTATTGTACTTAATTCATTTATTACTCAAAACCCATACACATAATACACCTCAAATGCCTGATTGGATACCAATACAGATAAGAATTTGGAATGTGTGAACAATTCTTTCATAAGTGATATAAAAACGAAACAATTATTCAATAGGTAAAGCTTTAACAATAAAGAAACATAACAACAGCTTATGGGTCACACAAACGCTTACAAATATCCGAATATAAAAATACGAATGTCCGGAGCTTTAACCGGATCACAAATCAATGGTGCACATGGGCTCCAGTATCCAGCGGGAATAAATGGCGTATGAACCAATCGTTGGTCACCGGCTACCAGGGGACTGCATCTCCTCATGATGATCCACTGCCTTGTGAGTCAGACCCTTAGGTCAAGGGCTCGGGGAGTGGTCCCCTAAGATAACCACCTGTTTCGGTCCGGGCACCTGGGCAGTATCACAGCCCACACATAAATAAAATGAAAATGATTATATTTACTGGAAATTCTATTCTCGCTTCGATTTACAGTCAAACAGTTCACATTATTATTATTATTATTATTATTATTATTATTATTATTATTATTATTATTATTATTATTTACCACATTATTCACCCTCTTTTATACTTATACAGCGGTTCGTCTTTGCTGAAAATTCGACTGTATCTAAACGTTCTCGTGTCACTGTCCGGTTGAAATTGTATGTTACCACTGAATATGAGTACTGAAGCAGTTTTTCTGAAATCACGTGCGCCATTCAAACTGGCTGCCTTCAACGTTCGCACACTTATGCAGGTCGGACAACAGATAGGGCTGGCTATGTCTTTGGAAAGTCTTCAAATCGATGTCTGCTGTCTATCCGAGACCCGTATTCAAGACTCTGGTGAAGTACTACAAATTCGCTCTCTATCTGTCACTTCAAAAAGCTTGTTTTACGTGAGCTTATCCGGGGACCCTGTGGCATCTTCGTCTGGTCTTGCTGGCGTTGGTGTCGCACTAAGCGATAGAGCTGAGGCAGCATTAATCGATTGGATCCCCATTAACAGTCGGTTATGTGCTGTTAGATTAGAAAATTCCATCAAAGTGAGAAGAAATCGGCGTGAGAAACGATGTCTCTTCGTCATCTCCGCCTATGCCCCGACAGATTGCAGCCCGGATGCAATCAAGGATGAATTCTACCACCAGTTATCTGTTCTTCTCCAGAAAGTGCGTTCGACAGATATTGTAGTACTAGCCGGAGACTTGAATGCTCAGGTCGGGCGTCTAGGCACAGAAGAGAGTCGTTTAGGTGGCCTATGGGGACTAGTTAGTCGCGGGACAGATAACGGGGACCGTCTACTGCAACTGTGCACAGACCACAACCTGCTTCTGGCCAGCACTAACTTTCGGCACAGTCATCGCCGATGTGCTACCTGGCGTCCTCCCTCTGCATCTCAAGCCTGGACTCACATTGATCACATCGCGATCAGCTACCGCTGGCGTGGTTGTGTACAAGACTGGCGCTCCTTTTGGAGTACCTATCTGGACTCTGACCATGCCTTGGTCTGCGCCAATCTTACTTTACTTTTCAGTGGCCAACGAAGTGACCACCACCAAAGGATTGATATTAGCAAGCTGGTTGCAACTTCTGTTGCAAGTAAGTATCGAACCAAGCTAGTTTCTAGGCTAGCTACCATTTCACCGAAAAGTATAGATGAGCATTGGTTGCAATTGCATGACGCCATGTAAATGGCGGGTACAGTCAGTTGTGGGTTCGCGAAACGTCCCGCTTATAAGCACTGGGTTTCTTCAGGCTCCTTACAACTCATTGAAGCCCGTCGGTCTACTCCGGGTGACCGCGAGTTTGATCACAAACGAAGGATGTTACGTAAGAAAATTGGGCAAAGCTTGCGTAAGGACCGAGAAGCCTGGTGGTCGAAGCGTGCTAATGAGTTGGAAGCAGCAGCTGCATCTGGTAACTACCGGAAGCTCTTCCAACTCATCCGAGCCACTGGCAGCAAGAAGTCTGGTGTGAGTGAAACAATCTGCGAGGATGATGGGATGCCAATCACTAACATCCATCGACGTCTTGGACGATGGGCAGAATTCTTCGAAGGGCAGTTCAACTGGCTTGCTGCTCCGGCAACATCAGTCAGACTGTTCTGCCCTCCATGACCGGTGACGACTGATCCACCAAACGAGGAGGAAGTCCGCAAGGAACTCCAACTCTTGAAGCGTTACATATCACCTGGCCCAGATGACTTACCTCCGGCTCTTTTTAAAGATGGTGGTGACTTTTTGACTAAGGAATTGACGACGTTGTTTACAAAGGTTTGGGAACTAGAGAGTGTACCAACGTCATGGAATGAGTCGATAGTTGTCCCTGTCTTTAAAAAGGGTTCACGTCGTTCCTGTAACAACTATCGGGGGATAAGTCTACTTCCGATTGCGTCCAAGCTATTGGCTTCCGTCATACTTCGTAGGTTGTTCAAAACCCGAGAAAGATTGACTCGCGAGGAGCAGGCTGGGTTTCGTTCTGCTCGAGGATGTATTGATCATATCTTCACCCTCCGCCAAATGTTAGAACACCGCCATACTTATCAAAGGCCAACAATCGTAGTGTTTCTTGACATCAGGGCTGCCTTCGATTCGTTGGACAGGACTGTTCTCTGGGATTGTCTATTGAAGAAGGGTGTGCCTGAGAAGTTTATTAACATCCTAAAAGCCCTATATAAAAACACCTCAGGCAGAGTGAAGGCATACAACCACCTCTCTTCATTGTTCCATTCGAGCAGTGGGGTTAGGCAGGGTTGCCCAATCTCACCATTCCTCTTCAACTTTGCCATCGATGACATTCTGGAAACAGCTCTGATGGATGTAAGTAATGGTGGTGTGGATCTGTTGCCTGGAGAAAGACTTCTCGACCTTGAGTATGCGGATGATATTGTCTTGCTATGCGATAATGCCCAAGGCATGCAATCCGCACTTAATCAGTTGGCAATCAGTGTCCTTAGGTATGGTATGTACTTTGCACCTTCGAAGTGCAAAGTACTTCTACAAGACTGGCAGGATCCTAATCCTGTACTCACCCTGGATGGTGAGCAGATAGAAGTAGTCGAGAAGTTTGTGTATCTGGGTAGCTGCATAAGTGCTGGTGGGGGTGTGAGTGATGAGATCAATGCACGTATAGTGAAAGCCAGAGCGGCTTAAGCCAATCTAGGCCACCTTTGGCGCCTTCGTGATGTTAGTCTGGCTGTAAAACGTCGGATCTACAACGCGTCGGTGAGAGCAGTCTTGCTCTATGCTTGTGAAACCTGGCCTCTCCGAGTTGAGGACGTTAGAAGACTCTCTGTGTTCGATCATCGCTGTCTCCGAAGGATTGCTGACATCCAGTGGCAACACCATGTCAGTAATGCAGAGGTTCGGCATCGTGTGTTCGGGCACAGAGATGATAATGCAATCGATGTCACCATCTTGAAACACCGACTTCGGCGGCTTGGACATGTTCTACGAATGTCGTCCCACAGAATTCCACGTCGTGCATTATTTGCCGACTCTGGGACTGGTTGGAAAAAGCGGAGAGGTGATCAGTATATGACATGGTGTCGTGGTATGAAAGAAAGCTGCAAAGGACTGGCTTGTGTCGGTCCTTCACGACTCCCTGGTTGGGGTCCGAGAGATGATGCTACACAGTGGCTAGAGACGTTATCAGATATGGCTCAGAATAGAAGCCAGTGGTGATCATGTTCTAACCTTCTTTTACATTTTTCATAAAAAGTGTTTGTCTTCCTTAACTGAAAGATTTCTTCTGATTGCACCTTTCCGTTCCCTCATTATTACTACACCACCTTACAACAACCTCTTCGTTATTGTTCTTTTTTTTCACAGTCCTTATCTTTCTTTTTCGGTTCAAGTTCTCATTGTTTTGTGTGGCGCATATATATTTGCGCTCTCTTGTACCAATATTTAGGTGTTCAAATAAATAAATAAGAATTTAATAACCTCAAAAGTACAAACGATAATTTGCCGTAGGACAGTTCTGAAAGTTTAACCCTACACAAATCCTCTTTGATACGACAGTTTTTATGAACGGGATTTTTACTGTGAAACTCAGTGAGCATAATCCCTACCAACTGACAATATGCAGTGATACGAAACGGATGAGTGGTGCCTGCTAATGAAAACGAATGACTAACACAAGCCTCCAAATGATTTTAAATTAAAAACGGTCAGGAAAATAAATATTTTTATACAAGAAAGTTTCATGCTTATATACAAAGTACACTTAATAAATTATTATAAACGATTGAAAAGAATTTTGTAGATCACTCGCTCTTGAATCACTTATTATCTTTTCCCATTGTATCAATAACCAGCCGAACATGTCATCATCGGACTACAATATGACATCTTTGCATAATGCAATCAGTCAGTCAGCTACAACGTAGGGCCAGGCACATATATGCATCGGTCCAAGTTGTCATACCTCATTAGCGCAACAAGAAGAACACCGAATTCATAGAAATAATCACTTCAATGGTACTATTGTACAAAAGAAAGATTGTGTACAAGAATATAGTACAGGAAGAAAGAATTATTTCGTAGAAAGAAAGATATAAAGCAATCTTAATACCACGATTTGAGGGAAGATAGATAGTGTATACACATATGCCATTGTGATCGATTCTAAGTCATGTTACCCAGAGTCTCCAACCATTGGTTACGATGGTTACGCGGACCCGAATCAAGTAATCTGAATCTACCAACATGGCTAATGCAATGCATACGAAAATATACGTTTTTACAAATCTTCCTCAGTGTTTTAAAAGTACCTTGAAGATGGATGCTACCATGCAAGAAAACTATGTCTAGAACCTACAATTAACTGTAAACAAATACTTGGAAATATTGCTGCATCATTTAGGCTAGTGATTATATATGTACTAATACGATTTACTGAACATAACTTATACTGGCAAATAATGGTAAACATTAATCACATTTCCTACAACAAATCTATGTAATTATCAGTTTATATAGATAAAACGCAAAGTCATATAATAAAAGCATGCTAAAAGAAAAAATACTTACTTTAGTATACAGATGGGTAAACATTTCATTTGGTAAACGAGCAGTACATAATGCAGGGTAAGTTGTACTAACAACTAAACGACCAAAGCCAGCAAGACAACGAGCAATATCAGGAAGGCTAACTTGATGAGGAGAAGACTGAAGAGTTGTTGAAGATGACACATTCGATCTTTGATGATGATTACGATGATAAGATGAAGAGGATGGTGAGTCTGATTCATTATAATTTGTAACTGATGGGGATGATGAACATATGGTGCGTTTCGAGGCAGTACAACACATGTTTATATGATTATGTTGATTGTATGGACCGACACAGTCTTGATAACAAAGGAAAGCATTTTCACGAGGTTCAGTTAAACCACTAATCGAGTCCAATTTATCATTCAGGTAACTTATTGTTTTTGTAATACTTCGTACATCCATCTGAAGATTGAAAGGAAAGTGCGAAAAGTACACGGAAATATTATCACATTAAAAATTATGCAATTTATACGTATAAACGTAAGTAAATTGATTGAAATTATGATATATGGTAAAACCCATAAACAAAACGACAAAGAGCGACCTAAGAGAATGAAACTGATAGTTGTTAGACATTAGCCTAAAATAAATGGAAAGTTAACGACTTTTCGTTATCTTGGCTCCGCCAACCAATGTATATGAAGTAACTTTTGGAAAAACATATCTCCTAGGTTTCATAATTATCCATGAATTAGTGATCTACTCGGTGAAAAAAGTTTACTGGTTAACTATGCGGTCTTCTGAAACTTAATTAATTAGAAGTTGTAGTTAGTCATTATTTGACCGACAGTATGTTACACCAATAGAGTGGTAAAAATCCGATCAACTTTATTCATCAGACATTTATCAAATCGAAATGGACGAATAAATAGGGTATAAAATTTGAAGGAGAAATATACAGATGATAGTTTTTACACTTACAAAAGGAACAGAGGAAAGTAAGAACCGATTTCTATTATTTTTACAATATTATTATGAAATGCCCTCAAATGCCCTGGTATGGACAAGAGTTGGGTGGACCCGTCCTCCCTCTCGAAATGCTCTCACATGGCCACGCGTATACAACCTATGCCAGGATGTTGCCTACGAAAATGAGAGGACGAAAAGCGAATGTCCAGAGCTTTAACCGGATTCCAAACCAATGGTGCACATGGGCTCCAGTATCCAGCGGGAATAAATGGCGTATGAACCAATCGTTGGTCACCGGCTACCAGGGGACTGCATCTCCTCATGATGATCCACTGCCTTGTGAGTCAGACCCTTAGGTCAAAGGCTCGGGGAGTGGTCCCCTAAGATAACCACCTGTTTCGGTCCGGGCACCTGGGCAGTATCACAGCCCACACATAAATAAAATGAAAATGATTATATTTACTGGAAATTCTATTCTCGCTTCGATTTACAGCCAAACAGTTCACATTATTATTATTATTATTATTATTATTATTATTATTATTATTATTATTATTATTATTTACCACATTATTCACCCTCTTTTATACTTATACAGCGGTTCGTCTTTGCTGAAAATTCGACTGTATCTAAACGTTCTCGTGTCACTGTCCGGTTGAAATTGTATGTTACCACTGAATATGAGTACTGAAGCAGTTTTTCTGAAATCACGTGCGCCATTCAAACTGGCTGCCTTCAACGTTCGCACACTTATGCAGGTCGGACAACAGATAGGGCTGGCTATGTCTTTGGAAAGTCTTCAAATCGATGTCTGCTGTCTATCCGAGACCCGTATTCAAGACTCTGGTGAAGTACTACAAATTCGCTCTCTATCTGTCACTTCAAAAAGCTTGTTTTACGTGAGCTTATCCGGGGACCCTGTGGCATCTTCGTCTGGTCTTGCTGGCGTTGGTGTCGCACTAAGCGATAGAGCTGAGGCAGCATTAATCGATTGGATCCCCATTAACAGTCGGTTATGTGCTGTTAGATTAGAAAGTTCCATCAAAGTGAGAAGAAATCGGCGTGAGAAACGATGTCTCTTCGTCATCTCCGCCTATGCCCCGACAGATTGCAGCCCGGATGCAATCAAGGATGAATTCTACCACCAGTTATCTGTTCTTCTCCAGAAAGTGCGTTCGACAGATATTGTAGTACTAGCCGGAGACTTGAATGCTCAGGTCGGGCGTCTAGGCACAGAAGAGAGTCGTTTAGGTGGCCTATGGGGACTAGTTAGTCGCGGGACAGATAACGGGGACCGTCTACTGCAACTGTGCACAGACCACAACCTGCTTCTGGCCAGCACTAACTTTCGGCACAGTCATCGCCGATGTGCTACCTGGCGTCCTCCCTCTGCATCTCAAGCCTGGACTCACATTGATCACATCGCGATCAGCTACCGCTGGCGTGGTTGTGTACAAGACTGGCGCTCCTTTTGGAGTACCTATCTGGACTCTGACCATGCCTTGGTCTGCGCCAATCTTACTTTACTTTTCAGTGGCCAACGAAGTGACCACCACCAAAGGATTGATATTAGCAAGCTGGTTGCAACTTCTGTTGCAAGTAAGTATCGAACCGAGCTAGTTTCTAGGCTAGCTACCATTTCACCGAAAAGTATAGATGAGCATTGGTTGCAATTGCATGACACCATGAAACGTCCCGTTTTTAAGCACTGCGTTTCTTCAGGCTCCTTACAACTCATCAAAGCCCGTCGGTCTACTCTAGAAAGCACTGGAAGGCTATTCCGTCATGTTATAGAACTCTTTAGAAGTGAGGCGATCCACTGGTTCAAAGGCTAATGTGTCGCCAAGAGATTTGAAATCCCAAGGTCTCTTCACCAGTGCGGTCGTGAATACACACTGCTGAGTCTCGCACTAAAGTGAAGCAGCTGTCTAAACCTTCATATTTAGCAACTGTTGTCTAAATACAGTTGGTTTGCAATGTAGACCATCAAAATTTGACAATCCTCATAAAAAAAGCTACATAAAAAATAATAACTTATTAATATGCAAAAGTAGTCTTACTGCATACATTTCGTTTTTGGTGACTTACATTAACAACTAATACTATAACTAAATAGCGATGATATTAGTCTATATTTATTAAGTCTACTTCGTCTTTCTGTTTGCGTTTTAAACAAAGAAAGAATAATTTCTATGACATTTGTGAATTTTTTTGTTCACAGGATTACAGTTAAATCACCTACTTTTTATAACAGTTGGACAGAACTTCTTGTCCTTATACAACCGATTTAAAAATTTGTAAATGGTAATTTCCCGCTATTTGATAGTATGGCAGTAAATTGGTGTCGCAGACCTTTCCTTAAAGTCGTACATGTGCACTAAAGATATTATGATGTAGACATTTTGGGTTAGACAGTCACTCAGTTAACCAGTACCAACGAGAGATTTAATATTAGTTCTAGAACCCACATCTGGCATCACATCGGCACAGTGGGAAGAAATTAACAAGATAAGAAGTATAAGATGGGGAAGTAATATTGAAAGCAATAGAAATCTGGAAATGTGTTACACAGTTCAAGAGGAAAAAGTATTGTAGTGAGCAGAACACCAGTGGGGACAATCGAATGTATTTGACACAAAATTACAGGACTTGTTATTAAAATCTAACATTCAAATAGTAAATATGTAATTTGCAAAATGTTATTCAACTGTCTCATAATGACTCAGACTTCATTGTTCTTACATTTTCATACAAATTGCATTATGTTCCCATTCTTTACTGTTCGATCCTCTTCTCTCTGCTTCCAGACATTCTGTTCACGAGTAACGTCATATATTACTTATATCAATATAAGTAGCACACACCACAGTATGACTGGAGATTCGAGGTAAGAGATGACAAGGAATGTTGATGAATTCTGAAATACAGCCTTGCAAGCAAATATCATCCGAAAGGTAAAGATATGAAATAAGTCGACCACTAACTGATTTTTATGACCGTAGTTATAACCTTGAGATAAATTATAAGTGATTCTAACCAATCAAGTGAACAGTCTATGTAATTCCTAAAGATTGCCAATTCAAATTAGATGTCAAAAAAATGATATGATGAAATGAACTAACTATTTTATTCCTAAAGACAAAATAATAAATAAGGTGGTCAACTTTTTAACTTATAATCAAATACTGCCTAAAATGATACGATGTACGTACATGAAAAATAAACCAGAATTCCTGTCAATCATGTTTTATGCAGTTGACATTTATTGTCAATAGTGTGGATAGTATGTTTATTCAGTTACGACCTTTTCTGTGCTAACATTAAACTGAAGGATGTCTTAGTTAGCATATCCTTTAATTAAACAAGCTTAGGTTAAGAGATGTGATTGATATTAGCCTTAATTTCTCATCACATGGCTCACAGTCTAGTCCATGAACGTTTAAGTAATTGCGAAACTGATTTACTTAGAAGAGTACCTACAGCCTAGTAACCTAATGCAACGTTAGATGCAAAAAATAGTGAATGTTATTAAGTGTTAAACAATCGAAAACAAACAATTCAGTCAAAATGACTGGTCAACCAGTAAATTTTAACAAGAACCGAACAGAATAACTGGGGTATTGCTAGTCAGTAAATTATGAAACAATTAAACAAAAAAGGATTACTTACAACGCCCTTTAAACGATCACATTCTGTACGAATTAAGTCTCTTTCTGTTTCAATTAAAGAAAGTTGATCTGTTAAGGCACGTCGTTTTTCTTCTCCAAGTCGTTTCACACAGTCTAATAATTCTCCTTGACGATGTTCAACGAGTGCCAATATCTCAGAAAAACGTGAGTTAATAGACTAGAATGGATGAAATAAATAATAAGGGACTACGTATTGAAGGAACTAAAAAATGTAATATAATGAAATGTGAAAACATATATCTATGAAGAGTGATAACAATCAGAAAGAGAGAAACAGCACTGGCTGACATATTAACTCAAAAGAATGATGATTCATCCTAAAAGAAGCCATAAATCGACCATCCATCTGTTTTATAACTAGTTTGTACCAATAAACAATGATTGATATGACAGTCAATGAGATAATGTGAACAAAAGCATACAGGTTACAGAAAATGCGCTGTAGAATGACATCATTTATGAAGAAATTATCTCCACTGTCTTTAAACATACACTATATAACTTTAACATTACTTTTGTGCTGATATCAATGAATATGAACTGAACTATAAAGGCATCCGAAAAATTACGTTATCCTAGAACTGCAACGTTTTGAAGACGTGAAACTTTGAAAAACAAAGCGTTACACTTCTGATCATTAGAGCTTAAATTGACGTTACAACTGTATCGAAAAACAGCCTATATTGGCATACACCACACTAGCTTTGTTAAACGAAAATTACTTGAGTGTTTTACAATAAAAACAGCAATCATACTACCTTAAAACACAGGCTTTTTGACTACTTACAACGACATATCAACCAATCTCACTATAAGTGAAAAGATATTATCCGCATACTTGATATGGAAAATTGTTCCGAAAAGTAATAAGTTTATGTTGTTACTATAAACCTATAATTTCATCCTTTATCAATGATAATTAATAGCACCTACATTTAAATCATATGATATGAAAGGGGAATATATCCCGAAGCATTCGAGAAAACTGCAGCCAAAAACCAAATGAAAAGGGTTAGGGTTATCCATACAGCTTAATGTTTCCAGTGATTATGCCAATAACTATATTTGGATTTTCTGCCAGCCACTATCACCTTAAAACGTTTACGAGCCAAATTCAGATTTAGAAAATTATGAATAGAAGAACGAAAGGATAAACACAAGATTAGGTGTTGATAACAGAAAAAAGTTTTAGGCAAGAGAGAGAAGGAAAAAACGAGAAGTATAAGAATTAGCAAATATATTTGTTGATCCAACTTGCCGTAATTCATACAGTGATAAAGAAAAAGAAAAGATGGAAGTGATTATATTAACACTGTCAGAGGACCAAAACGAACAACACAACAAAGTATATACAATAAGTACGATGGAGGATGGATACGTCCGAACTTTTAAGACTGATGCACAACCTTAGTGCCTGAAGTTTACAACTACAGTTAATAATTGGGAAACGGCTACCTGACTACATTAGTTAGATCAATGGTCAAAGGATTCATGAACGCATATTATGTTTTGGCCGGACCACCATTATCCATTTTCTAACTCAATACTAAGTCGATCAATATAGTACGGTGAGTGATGAATAGTTTTTTTATTATTTTTTTGTCTTATTTACCATGTAAAAGTTGACGTTGAGTCCTACTGTTAGTGTGTGGGCTAGTGATACCAACTGATTGTCCAAACTGAATTAGGTGGAGCGGTGTCAGAACCAGCTAATGAAAGTCAAATCCCCTAACCACAGAGCGAATGCTCCACCGTGATGACTGAATTCGGATTATAAATGTCTCAAAACATACATCTGATTAGGCTTCACAATCTTATTAATTTTATTTATCACCTTAACTCAGCACTCAACCCTTAAAGTTACTGTTGTTCAATTAAACATTCCACCGCCCACAAATGCTCTGATACGGCCGAGAGTAGAGAGAGTCCGCTCTCCCTCTCGAAATGCTCTCACATGGCCCCTGCCAGGGAAGTTCTACTCACTGCTTTTTCGTGGCGTGGGTGTTGTTTACGAAATCTAGAGAACGAAAAGCGAATGTCCAGCTCTTTGATTGGGTTGGTGGACACGGAGAGTCCACCTAGGGGAGTTGGAAAACCCTTATTCCAAACCAAGGCTGCACATGGGCTCCAGTATCCTGAAGGAACAAATGGCGTATGAACCAATCATTGGTCACCGGCTACCATGGGACTGCATCTCCTGACGTTGCTCCACTGCCTTGTGGATCAGATCTTTCAAGCCGAAGGCTCGGGGTGTGGCCCCTAAGATAACCACCTGTTTCGGTTTGGGTACCTGTGTAGTATCACAGCCCCCACACATATCAAATGATATTTGTGTGGCGCATATGTATTCGGTGCCCCTTTGTACCAGTATTTATATGTCCAAATAAATAAATAAATAAAGACATTCCACCATACCCAGTCAAGATTTATGATTGAGTACATGAAATTAACGCATACTATCCACCGCAACTAGCTGTTTGACAGCCAGAATGTAAAACTAGTTTGTGCCAATATTATCTGAAAAGACAATGACAGCTTTACGATTAAGCCACTCAGCTCAAACGATATGAATTGACAAAAACTATCCCCTTGAGCTACAAATATCCACTATTTTAAAGGTAAATTATTCAGGTGTTCGCTTAGCGCGGTCAACAATAAACCTTTCCATAGAAATAAATTCAAAACGAGACTTCTGTTAAACTAAAACCGACATTGTAGACGTTTTATTGTTTCAAGTTGAAAAGAGTTGACAGGACAGAGAAAACTATTTTATACCAGCACTAATATTACGCATGATACATTCGTATTCGGATTGATTGATAGTCACAATACACGAGCTAAAGTCCCATTTAAATCATTAAGAACAGGTATTTTTTATATTACTGAGTTGTTTGTGTTTAATTAAATAAAGGTAAAATACAATGTTATGGCATTTGCATCATAACATGTAGACACTAAAATGAATGTTCATGAAGAATGAAAACTAGTTAATTATAACAAATTTTACTTATAAATTTAAATTATTTCCTCATAACCCTCAACAGCTAGAGATTCATTTTATCAAACACGAAGTTGAATGTTTTTCTTTAAATCTAACGACTTACTTCAACACATGAACTAGTATTATTTGTTAAACGTTCTAGTTCACTTGTTACGGCTTCTTGAGCACAATTTAACTCTTGAGTACATAAATGCATTTTATAGAGCATAATTTCTGAACAACGTTTTAGTGCAACGTTGAATGTGATCACATTATGATTTAGGCCAGTACTCGACGATGAACTTTCTACTTGTGTAGTAATATCTTGATTTCCATTGTTCACTGGCAAACATGATGAGTCTAAAAAGTTTTACAAATTCATTTAAAGGAATCAATATTCTTCATTACCATTCACATGATTTTGAACAGCATGATTACGACCTCGGCATTCACTGCAAAATACCATATCACAAGTCTCACAAAATAATAGTTCTTGTGATGGATGTATACAACATTTAGGTACAACATCTCGACGATGGGTAGCAAGTAGGTCTAATAACTGATTTACTATAAAAGCCGGAGGAAATGAAGCTGCACCACCTGATGGAATAGCAATATTCTCCCGGCAAATTGGACAACGAAATGTCTCTGACTGAGTCTAAAAAATAGACATAAATTCAAAATTACTTAGAGAGTAATCATTCTTCAGGTTGTTTTATTTTACGCCGTATGAAAAAATGTGTGAAAAACAGATTCAAACAAAATTACAAATTCAAAGTGATTTTATCGCAGTTAATAGTTAGTAGATAATCGCATGTGAGTATTTTATACATCTGTAGGGTTTTATTAACAGTTACTGAACAATGAAGATATGAGTCCGTATCAAACTAATAATCTCGCAATATTACTTTCAAATCCTACTAAATATTTGGGATTAGGGATACGAGATGTCATCCTCTTCATGACAATCAACAATTAAGCACTACAACAACTAGTTACTGATTAGCATTCAGTGAACACTAATTAATACTTAGTTGATACAATTCACATGAAAATCATAACGATAAAATAAGACCGAAATAAGGGGTATGACGTTAACAGTAAAAAGTAAAGGTCCGTATTGATGATTTATTTTCCAATACGACTCATCGTCGTCAGACGTTAAAAAACCCAAAGCATGAAAGCTGAATACTTGTTTACCTAGAAGATTAACGGCAGTAATCCTTATAAACATTTAAGCAAGCTGAACTTTTTCATGAAATTAGAGCTGGTGAGGTTCCTCTAGTTTGGTAAGGAAATATTTGCAACACGATAGTGAACTCTATAAAACGAACATAAAATTATGATCCTCGAACAGAAACATTTCCTGGATCAAACAGAGGGCGATTTCAATTGAGACGAATCTATCAGTGAAACCTTGTGCTGAGGAATATGAAATTCCAACCTGATGGTGTAGAAAAGCCGTATGGCTGAGGATCTTTCTTACAACACAGATTATGCTGAAATATGACTAAATGAAAAAGCTATATTAAAGGCTTAGAGTATGAATAAAATAACTGGAAGTGACAGCTAGGACTTACTTCATTTGTAAGGATCCGATCTAAACACGAACGGCATATTGTGTGTGAACAAGGTAATAATTTGGCAGCACGTTCACTTGAATTATAACCACTGAAACACGTACCACACGTCAAAAAATTATCTGCGAAGTCGTCCACATTAATCATAACAGTTTCCACTAGACGGGATGACATCTAAATATAACAGAAACAATTTTTGAGCAGTAGTGAAATATCATATCCCTAAATAAAAAATTAGTGAGATTAAAAGCTCCCTAAAAGTTTGCAAATGATTAGATGAGTTGACGAAAGTTAATAAATCAAATGATAATTTACAAATTTATTTCATCCGACTACTTTATTATTTCCAATCCTAATCCCCTTACATTTTTAGATGTAAGTTAATCTTTTCAGTATTTGCTAAAATGAGCAAAATATAAGGATCAAACGACCATGTAATCCCGATGGGATTCACAGGACCACAACGGTGGGTAAAGTCGATAAGAGGACTGAAAGCATGGTCTCTAAGAGGAAAAAAATGAAGCATGTTAAAGGTATCACCTTTTACTCAATGTTACTACGGAAGGATCAGAAATCATTTCACGGAGGTGTCATGATCTTGAAGGACCAGTCCTAACAATCAAACCTTAATTGAATGGAGAGACCTACGAATTAAGTTTTCCCCATTATCTGAGACATTTTGTTATAGTTATTTTGTGACTACTATACAAATAAGCATGCCACTTCTTTACAAAGAAAGCCTATGCTTCTGGCTAATGTCCTTGTCACGTTACAAATCATTGGGAGGCGTGAGTAAACTATGTTATCGTGAGCATTCATCGCTCAGACACACAGTACCATTATGTTTTGTCTATAGACCACTATCCCGCATCCTGATTTTAACGACTGAATCTTTAGAATTCCACACCATAACTAACTTTTATCACATTTAGGTTTAGGTGAAGTCGGTAAGCATAACTGAGCTTCCACAGATTAATTTATGTTTGACTACAATCTTATTTGACTGATGTTCACCTACTTTGATCTTAGAGATCAGAAGAATTTAAAACTACGTGTTATCATTAAATTTTACTGAGGAATGGATTTAATTTGCAATTATTTATTTTCATTGAATAACAAGTCATCTACAGCTCTTTCAAAGTTATGAACTCAAAAGCTCGGCAAAATTATCGACAAATGTTGGATTTCTGGCTCCCAAAAATCAAGTTCAACATGTATCTTAAAGGTAATATTTACTTACTATAACCAGTTGTAATATTTAAGGGTTTCGTTTTTAGCCAAAGCTTATTTATTTAGTTATTTGAACACAAACATTGATACAAGGGGGCACTAAATATATATACGCCACATCAGTCAAAGCTACTACATTAGAATTACTTTGAGACATGTGAAAACATTCATAAAAAGGATGCACTTTTCAGCAAGATATCGACCATTGGCTTAACATGTACCAAGCATACAAAGTACATGGAAGTTAATGTTGATCAATAATCGACTAAAACGTTTTCGTTTATTTACAGTGAGTAACAGACTATACCTTGCCTTGCGATTTATAAAAAACCAACTAACTTACGCAACCAAGATTTTGAAGGAAAATACCTTATTACCTGAACATACTGCAGAAGGTACAAATGTGTATCTTTTGGGTTTAGTACAATACTCACAAACTAAAAAATAAAGTCCGGAGCTAATGGTCAAACTGCCTGTTAATGTTCCTTTACTCACGGTACGATCACAGAGTTAAATGACGTTGTGGTCTTTTATGAAGACATACTAGTGAGAAATTCTTTAATATAAACTCAACTGCTTCACACAGTCAGATTAAAAGTTAATTTGGGAACAGCAAAGTTTTAAAAACTCTGTAATATATATTATATGTTAAACTGGGGTCGGAAGCCAAGATAAACTTAAAAAGACTGTACATACCATTGATGAGGTCATCACCTAAGGGACAAACCCATAAGCAACAAGCCAATCAGGTTAACGAGAACCAAACAACCCGCAGTAACAAACAGTGTCCAATGGAAATCCTCTAGATTACGCGGTATTTTGCATTTAATTGTACGGATATGACTGAATGACTTTCTGATCAGTACAACCTAATGTTACTAACCGTATGTATGTCTTATTATAACTCCGAATCGCAATTTTTTGGTTAGAACTCTACTCTATCCTACGGTTTCAGTTTGGAAGTGACAGGAGGCTATGTCCCTGTATTAGACCTGGCAATGATGGTCTCTCAGTTGATCCAACTTTCTTTTGAAAGAGTTGACGGATGGACCTTCAATCATGTTGATGATGTACCTATTAATCTTTGTATTCCCAAAGTGCATGTAAACACATTTCTTGCGTTGATAGGTATCAGCCTCTCTTTAGACTAGTTAATCACATTATTGAAGTCTACCTGAAGTGTACATGCATCTTTTTTTTACATCGTCAGCATATAACAACATCGCGTACTCAACTATACTTGAAAGTTCATTTAAATACAGAACAAAAAGTAAATGACCTAAGAAACAGATTCCTGCGGAACTCCGCTAAGTACTGGTATCCAATTAGGGTACATGGAATTCACTCTTACTTTCTGTCCATGATCTACCAGGAAATCCTTAACCCATTTTAGGAGAGGTCCGCTAATGCCAAGATTTTCCAACTTCAAGGACAGTCTATTTGTTTATACCTTATCACGTGCTTTGCTGAAGTCTAAGTAGACAACATCCACTGACTTTCCATTGATCCCTTGCTATAAGGAGGTATGTTACGCAAGATAAATTTTCTGAAACCGTGATGCTCTCTGTTTAACAAGTTGTTGGTTTCCACAAATATCACTATGGTCTTTCTGACTATTCTTCCCAGTATTTTAGCTGCGACACAGGTAAGGCTGACAGGTTTATAGTTTGGTGGAAGTTGTCTTGGTCCTGTTATATATATGGGATTGACAATTTCATCGTACCAGTCCATAGATAACACACCTTGGTCAAGTGATATATTGAACATCGCAGTTAGTGTGCAGTTTGTCTCAGGATTTTGGGATGTAGTTCATTCGGTCCTGTTGACTTTCCCGTGTCTAAAGTGCTAAGAGCCTTAAGTCCACGGTGAACAGACGGTTTGTTGACTTTGCATTTGGGTCTAGTTCTTCGTCCAAAAGAGGCTCCTCAGTGAAAACTGCTTATTCTTGATCACCCTCTATCATTTCAGATCCACTCCCTCACTTAATCAGTTTGGGAATCCCATGCTGCATCCTTGTTCTGTAATTTATATACGGCATTAGTCTCTTAGGCTATTTGAGTGAAGATTGTGCCAACTGCATTTCTTATTTTCTCCGAGTTTTCCGGATTCTAATTGTACACTTCTTTTTTACCGACGCGTAGAGTTCCATAGTACTCGCTGTGCCAAGTCTGATGGCAACGTTCCAACATTTCCTTTGTCCTAGTAAACGTTGAATATGGCGGTCTATCCAGGGTACATATGGTTGAGTTACCTAGTTGTATAACTGCCTGAGATGAGTCTATGCCTCTTCTACTTATGCCCCTGAATCAATAACCCAGTTTTCAGCTGATGCTGTAGAGTTTATCGCCTCTATATCTGTATTCCATATGTCAGGACAGGCCGGCGCAACTGTTCGACAGGCCATCTCAGCCATAAGCTTGAATAAGATGACTTCATGATCACTTCTCCCTGAAGGTGATAGGAAAGTCATTTGGCCGACACCATCACCGTATGTGAAGACTAAGCCCAAGAGAGACGAGGAGCTCCATAGGTCATGTCTGGTGGGATCTCTAATGTGCTGTAATAAAGCTAGTGCAATTAGGATTTCTAACAGTTTGCAATCAACTGACGTTATCGACGACCCTACTTCTAAGTTTACCCAGTTTATGTACGGTGCATTAAAGTCGCCTACTATAAGGCTTTTACTCACATTACACCAGGACTTAAGTTTTTTTTGGGAAAACGTCATCCACCACACATTCTGCACTGTGGTGTACTACAACTAATTCAATATCTTACAATCTACATTTCAGCCTGCAGCGCACCGTACCCCATGTCCCTGAATCATGTGACACTGTTTCAACAGTTCGTATGGCTAAGGTACTTTTTGTGTATAGGATAACGTCGCCTCCTCCACGGTTTAATCCTGAGGTTAACCATGTTTCTAAGACAGCAACAACACCCGGATTTTCTTTATCCACCATTGTCTCGATCTCCGCCATTTGTGTAGCACACCTTTAATTTGTGGAGAACTTTCCCCTGCCACCCATGGTGGTTCGAGGATTGTTTTGCTCCAAAGTTTTACGACTTGAAAACCCTTAAATACGAGGTTTCTTCCACCGTCTCGGAGGCGCTCATTCATTTCTACTTCTGCAGCTCATCTATTAATGCACACAACCAGGCTGAGATCCTCACAGACGTATATTTTGGATCCAACCAGTTCGCGTGAGGTTCCTAGAATCAGGTTTCATACTTCAACCATAGCAAAGGTAACCTTCAAGAGGCGGATTTTCCGAGCACTTTCAGAATCCACCTTTTCTCTTATTCCATAAGCTTACGGATCCCAAGCCCCGTGCCTGTTTCCAGGGGTAGCTTGCTTATTAAGGACTTAATATGAATAAGACCGTGCTCAAATCTGACCTTTGATTCCTTATCGGAAGATTCTCTTAACTTATGAAAAATGACTGGCCTCTCAGAGAGGTCTGTCTTGGCACGCTGTGAAATTTTAGTTCCTGGAATAGTCTAAACCTGAAATTCGGTTTTTGAATATGTCATACCTTACAAAATCCTCAGTATTTCACAATCTGTTGGAAGACATTATTTCTGTAAGTACCATTTTACAAGCTTACAAGTTATGGACTGTGGGTAAGGTATCAATGCAGTGTTTCTATTGACTATAGTATAAAGCATAGTTTGCCAATCAGAGTATAAGCATTAAGAAGGATATAATGTAGGGTAGTTGTTTACTAAAGCAGGAGAAAAAGTATAGAGGTACATGAGTCGTAGATAAGGTAACGAGTGAAGAAATAATATTAATTACTAGTCAGCATAGTGTACTAGAGAGTAGAGAGATAATAAAGAATAAACAGGAAAAAACTCACACCAACTTGATGATGATGTTATTTTGTGTTATCATAACCAGTTGATGGGTAACATGCTCCATAGATGCAAGATCACTGGTAGTAGGCAGTCGGCTGCGGTCCTCTCGAGTTTTTAGGAAGGTATTGAGTGTCCCTTAGCAACCGAGTTTAGTTGAACAGTATCGATAGGTTCAGTGAGTTACCTGTCTACCTCAAGTGAAGAAATAGGGTGGAAAAAGTAGCTAATACAACTGCAAAGTAGGAAAAATAAAGCAAACTGAACTTGATGTCTTTTTTATTCTAGACATGGAGAGAGCCTATGATGTCTGAGTGGAGCACATATGTGTTCGTACGTGCTAGATCAGTGCAAGTGACGGCTTGATCAAGGAGTTTTACAAACGTAAGTAATTCATCTGCCATGCGTATTTTGGAGGGAGGACTGTTCCATATTATTGCATGCCTGATGAGGAAGAAGTTTTTCCGAGTTTTCGATCTGTATTTCTGAACTTTGACGGTAGATACTGTGTTTCGAAGTTCGTATCATTATTTTGAACTTCTCGATATTGGGATTTTGTCCCATCAGTGCTCAGCAACCTAAATCTATCACACATTCTTCTCCCCTTGCAGAGAACAGTGCGAACCTTCCTACTGAACCATGGTGGAAAGTTTCTCTCACTCCCTGGTGTGGTCCGAGGAATGTGGGGTGTGTTAACTTTGAAGTACGAATGTCGAAGTACATCCCAAGCCTTTTTATTTGGGGACTCCGGCTCTATTATCCAATTCACTGACAATGCTGAGTGTATAATATGTTTTATATTTGCTTTCCAGACACAAAGTCTAGGTTGTGCCGAAGAGTGCTAGTTTTTGGTAACTATATGAAGGTTAAACTTTAGGACTGCGTGATCGCTTTTACGTATGGGTGGCATGTAATCGAGTTTCATGACGTCATCTTCACAATGGGTCAATGTAAGATCTAGTCAGGATGATTCAGAGTCTGGGTCGTACGTAGTCGCTTCTTTCACATATTGCACTAGGGCACATGTGTTTGGACTTCATCTGTGGCGGGAGGACGCTTCTTCGAAGGATACACAGCAACACAGACAATATAAGTTAGAACTCTACAGTTAACACATCATTTTCTGAATTCAGTATTGTAAAGAGATGACTTAGAAGAAAGTACTATTCCAGCGATGAATGTGAGGCCCAGTAATTACTTACTGCTCTAACCTACCATTTTTAGTACTCACTTCAACATTGAGCCACCTTGCTGTGATTTTGATGCAATTTCAAAATCATGCGCTTAAGATATGATCACTTATGTACTTCGTTTCAAACTCTCCTCTAGACTCTCATAGCTAGTGAGAAAATGCCTCTGATTTTGAGATACTGAGATCTACCTTCTACAGTATTCCAGTAAAGATACTACAAGTATTTGGAGTTTGACAAAACCCTAACCAGTAACACCTTTTATGATTGGAATGTGTCAACCCAGTCAAATCCAAAGTCAAAAGTTAAGAGGTTTGAAGATATATTTGCTAGGTTGTTGACATATCGAGGAGTGATCAGTCTAGGCTTGCTAGCGGTCGTAGGAGATGTGGAGCACGACGTACCCACTCATGATCTGGTTCGGATGCATAACCGAGTGTCTTTAGCCAGGTGAGCCCATTAAAACTAATGGGGTCAGCATATAATGACACAGACTTACAGAGCCACTAGTTTCAGGGGCTTATTTATCGACACATCATTTAACTTCTTTCTCATATGCTTTTTCATGTGATAAGAAGGGTCGAAACGTACTGTTTGATCGTGGCAGATTATTACTATGCCGTGAACCCTATACTTCGTTCTGCAATTCTTAACTTATGATACCGG